ATTATGATCAAGATCATCATAATGATCATCATAGTTGCCATAGCAACTATAATTTATTATGATTAATATGCTAATTATGATCAAGCTCATCATAATAATCATCATAGTGGCAATGGCAACCATCATTTATTATGATTAATATGCTAATTATGATCAAGATCATCATAATGATCATCTTAGTTCCCATGGCAACCATAATTTTTTATGATTAATATGCTATATATGATCAAAATCATCATAATGATCATCATGGTTGTTGTCGTCATGCTAATTATGATCAAGATCATCATAATGACCATCATAGTTGCCATGGCAACCATAATTTATTACGAATAATATGCTAATTATGATCAAAATCATCATAATGAGCATCATAGTTGCCATTGCAACCACAATTTATTATAATTAATATGCTAATTATGATCAAGATCATCATAATGATCATCATAGTTGCCATGGCAACCATCATTTTTTATGATTAATATGCTAATTATGATCAAGATCATCATAATGATCATCTTAGTTCCCATGGCAACCATAATTTTTTATGATTAATGTGCTAATTATGATCAAAATCATCATAATGAGCATCATAGTTGCCATTGCAACCATCATTTAGTATCATTAATATGCTAATTATGATCAAGATCATCATAATGAGCATCTTGGTTGCCATGGCAACCATCATTTATTATGATTAATGTGCTAATTATGATCAAAATCATCATAATGATCATCATAGTTGTTGTCATCATGCTAATTATGATCAAGATCATCATAATGATCATCATGGTTGGTATGGCAACCATAATTTATTACGATTAATATGCTAATTATGATCAAAATCATCATAATGAGCATCATGGTTGCCATTGCAACCACAATTTATTATGACTAATATGCTAATTATGATCAAGATCATCATAATGATCATCATAGTTGCCATGGCAACCATCATTTATTATGATTAATATGCTAATTATGATCAAAATCATGATAATGATCATCATGGTTGTTGTCATCATGCTAATTATGATCAAGATCATCATAATGATCATCATAGTTGCCATTGCAACCAGAATTTAGTTTGATTAATATGCTAATTATGATCAAGATCATCATAATGATCATCATAGTTGCCATAGCAACCATCATTTATTATGATTAATATGCTAATTATGATCAAGATCATCATAATGATCATCATAGTTGCCATAGCAACCATCATTTATTATGATTAATATGGTAATTATGATCAAAATCATCATAATGATCATCATAGTTGCAATAACAAGCATAATTTATTATGATTAATATCCTTATTATGATCAAGATCATCATAATGATCATCATAGTTGCCATAGCAACTATAATTTATTATGATTAATATGCTAATTATGATCAAGATCATCGTAATGATCATCTTAGTTCCCATGGCAACCATTATTTTTTTACGATTAATGTGCTAATTATGATCAAAATCATCATAAGGAGCATTATAGTTGCCATTGCAACCATCATTTAGTATGATTAATATGCTAATTATGATCAAGATCATCATAATGAGCATCATGGTTGCCATGGCAACCGTCATTTATTATGATTAATATGCTAATTATGATCAAAATCATCATAATGACCATCATGGTTGTTGTCATCATGCTAATTATGATCAAGATCATCATAATGATCATCATAGTTGCCATAGCAACCATCATTTATTATGATTAATATGCTAAGTATGATCAAGATCATCATAATGATCATCATAGTTGCCATAGCAACTATAATTTATTATGATTAATATGCTAATTATGATCACGCTCATCATAATGATCATCATAGTTGCCATGGCAACCATCATTTATTTTGATTAATATGCTAATTATTATCAAGATCATCGTTATGATCATCTTAGTTCCCATGGCAACCATAATTTTTTATGATTTATGTGCTAATTATGATCAAAATCATCATAATGAGCATCATAGTTGCCATTGAAACCATCATTTAGTATGATTAATATGCTAATTATGATCAAGATCATCATAATGAGCATCATGGTTGCCATGGCAACCGTCATTTATTATGATTAATATGCTAATTATGATCAAAATCATCATAATGACCATCATGGTTGTTGTCATCATGCTAATTATGATCATGATCATCATAATGATCATCATAGTTGCCATGGTTACCATAATTTATTACGATTAATATGCTAATTATGATCAAAATCATCATAATGAGCATCATGGTTGCCATTGCAACCACAATTTATTATGATTAATATGCTAATTATGATCAAGATCATCATAATGATCATCATATTTGCCATGGCAACCATCATTTATTATGATTAATATGCTAATTATGATCAAAATCATCATAATGATCATCATGGTTGTTGTCATCATGCTAATTATGATCAAGATCATCATAATGATCATAATAGTTGCCATTGCAACCAGAATTTATTATGATTAATATGCTAATTATGATAAAGATCATCATAATGATCATCATAGTTGCCATTGCAACCATCATTTATTATGATTAATATTCTAATTAGGATCAAGATCATCATAATGATCATAATAGTTGCCATGCCAACCATCATTCATTATGATTAATATGCTAATTATGATCAAAATCATCATAATGATCATCATGGCTGCCATAGCAACCATCATGTGTATGTATGTGTATGTATGTGCGATGGCTTAAATGTTAATGTTAGACATAATCTTACAGCATCTGTTGGACTTGGCACTGATGTACATGCATCACACATTGTTGGGGCATCTTCTAGTAACGAAGAATCAAACTGGCAAGCTTGGTCTTGCATTTTAACTTTAGGTTTAGTCATAGTTTCTTTGTCGTTGCTATTCGACGCCATACTTCGTTTCTTTTTTTGATTAATATGGTATATATTATCAAAATCATCACAATGATCATTATGGTTGTAATAAAAAACCATAATTTATTATGATTAATATGCTTATTATGATCAAGATCATCATAATGAGCATCATGGTTGCCATGGCAACCATCATTTATTATGATTAATATGCTAATTATGATCAAAATCATCATAATGATCATCATCGTTGTGGTCATCATGCTAATTATGATTAAAATCATCATATTGATCATCTTAGTTGCCATAGCAACCATAATTTTTTATGATTAATGTGCTAATTATGATCAAAATCATCATAATGAGCATCATGGTTAACATTGCAAATATAATTTAGTATGATTAATATGCTAATTATGATCAAGATCATCATACTGATCATCATAGTTGCCATAACAACCATCATTTATTATGATTAATATGGTATATATGATCAAAATCATAACAATGATCATTATGGTTGCAATAAAAAACCATAATTTATTATGATTAATATGCTTATTATTATCAAGATCATCATAATAATCATCATAGTTGCCATGGCAACCATCATTTATTATGAATAATATGGTAATTATGATCAAGTTCATCATAATGATCATCTTAGTTGCCATGGCAACCATCATTTATTATGATTAATATGCTAATTATGATCAAGATCATCATAATGATCATCATAGTTGCCATAGCAACCATCATTTATAATGATTAATATGGTAATTATGATCCAAATAATCATAATGAGCATCACGCTTGCCATAACAACCATAATTTATTATGATTAATGTGCTAATTATGATCAAGATCACCATAATGATCATCCTAGTTGCCATAGCAACCATCAATTATTATGATTAATATGGTAATTATGATCAAAATCATCATAATGATCATCATGGTTGCCATAACAAGCATATTTTATTATGATTAATATGCTAATTATGAACAAGATCATCATAATGATCATTATAGTTGCCATAGCAACCATCATTTATTATGATTAATATGGTATATATGATCAAAATCATAACAATGATCATTATGGTTGTAATAAAAAACCATAATTTATTATGATTAATATGCTTATTATGATCAAGATCATCATAATGATCATCATAGTTGCCATGGCAACCATCATTTATATATATATATATATCAAATTTATTGAACAATGTTCAAACGGAGAAAATGCAACGGGACACGAGATCCCATGCGAGGCATTCTTCCGATCACATATTTACATATACAAAAACAAATAACACACAGAAGAAACATAAGTTATATAGCTACACGCATCGAAGAATAAACATATGCTATGCACAAGCTCGAAAATCCAAAGTTTTTTTTTTTTTTTTTTTTTTTTTTTTTTTTTTTTTTTTTTTTTTTTTTTTTTTTTTCATGGGAAATAAAATAAATTTATCAGAAAGAGATAGTTGCCTAAGATAATTTAAAAACCATAGTAATATTTAGAATCAGGCAATAGCATATGTTCTCTTCGCATGTTAATTAAGCTCTATGACATGAACAGGTTCTATGCAATGACCAAGTACAGAGCATGTCGACGTCGTAATAAGACACTAATGAATGTAAATACGTTCTTGATAGAAACGATCTGAACATTGCCAGGCTACTTAGCTCTGAGGGTTGAGCAGTTCTAACAGACCAAGTTCCAGATAGGAACGATACGATTAAAAACGATGACTGGAATGTACTTGTTTACATGAGGGTACTTTAAGCATTAAACTAGGGTTTAAACAATTACGAGTACGACTATGGCTCAATAGTGATACATAGTCAAAAATATTCAAATCGTAATACCCATGCATAGCTTTAAAAAAGAATGTTAAGTCTTTTATCTCTCTATCGTAAGATAACGGAAGAATATTGAGAGCTAACAAACGTTCTTTGTAGGAGATTTCTCCCATCTTTACTTGTAGGATCCATCGAGTAGCTCGCCTTTGAATTCGTTCTAGTTTGGCTTTGTTTGTGGTTTGCGAGGGTGACCAGACCTCTGTTGCATAACACAGTTGGGATTTTACCAATGATAAATATAATGTTCTACGAGCATTACGATCTGTTAACAACGGGCACGTTCTTCGCAATAGTCCAGCATTCTATTCGCCTTGGACACGACTTGGATGATATGAAGATTCCAAGATAATGTTCTCGTTACGGTGACTCCAAGGTCAGCTTCGCTATCTACACGCATCAAATCAGTCGAGCCAAGATGGTATTTTATAATCGGACGTTTTCTGCGAGTTATTGTCAGAACTTTACATTTGGACGCGTTAAAGTCGATATTCGATTGTTTGCTCCAACCGTCAGCATACGACAATGCTTCTTGCAGTTGGTCACAATCTTGGGGTGATGTTATTGCCCTGTAAAGCTTTGTGTCGTCTGCGTAGAGGCCAGATGATGTTGATGGAGGAATAGCGTCAGGGAAATCATTTATAAACAAAAGGAACAATAGGACCCAGGATACTACCTGAGGGACACCAGAGGTAACATGAGACCAATCTGAAGCTACACCATCGATGACAACTCGCTGGGTTCGTCCGTGTAAATAATCAGTAAACCATTTATACATGTTGCCTGATATGCCGTATGATTTGATTTTCTTCAATAAAATGGCGTGATCCACAGAATCAAAGGCTTTAGCAAAGTCAAGAAATAGAACATCTGACTGAACGTTATGGTCTAGTAATTGTCCAATATGATGTAGGGTTGCTAGAAGTTGGGTGACACACGAGCGTCCGTGAAGAAATCCGTGTTGGGCTTTGTTAATCATAACCTTAATATGTTCTTGGAAACGATAGCAAACACATCGCTCCAAGACTTTGCTGATAATGGGAAGCAAGGATATAGGTCGGTAGTTAGTAGCAGGTTCCTTCTTACTTTTCTTGTGGACAGGTGTTACATTTGCAGATTTCCATTCAGTGGGTAAAGTTCCAGATTGCAGAGAGTGATTAAACAGTAAACAGAGACTTGGCGCGATAACAGAACTACATTCCTTTAAAATTTGTCCGGGGATTTTGTCAGGACCAGGAGATTTAGTTGGAATCAGGTTCGAGAGATGGTGGACAACTTCATCTTCTGAGATGGAGATATCAGATAACAAGTCAGACGTAAGCAAAGGGAAGGTCTTCAGGGATCTCCGTAGGTTTGGACGGTCGAAAGACAGAGCAGAAATAGGTGTTAAAAAGCTGTGCTTTTTCTTTGGGAGATGTTGCTGTGATGTGGTTAAAGGTTATTACAGGGTTTAGGGCGGTTCGATGATGGAGTATAGCTTTGTGGTAGCTCCAAAACATCTTGGGATTCTCTTTAAAGGATGCTTCGATTTTAGCAAGGTAGAGTTTGTGTTTAGATCTAATTGCGTACTTTACTTGCTGGCATAAACTTCGCAATTTCATCTTGCGTGTGGGTATCTTGTTTTTTCGGTAGTGACGAAGAGCAGTGTACTTTTTACGAATTAGGTGGCGAACTTCACCGTCAATCCAAGGAGGAGAGTTGATATCATGCACAAGTTTGGTTGGAACAAATTTATGCACTATAGATAGAAACGTGTCTTTCCACTGTTCCCAGCATTCATCGATGTTATTTGTAGGGGAAATGTTTAAGTTTGCTTCTGACAAAGCTTTACGCAGTGCGCAAAAGTCAGTTTTGTTATAGTCAAAGACAACACGACGAATAGATTTAGCTCTGGTGAATTTCATACGTATACTAAATTCAACAATGTAGTGATCCGTGGGGAAATTATGTTCATCTGGTGAAAATATTGATACATCAGATAATTTTTCAGCGTTGTTACAGAATAACAAGTCAAGTTTATTACCAGCACGATGTGTTGAGCCTTCTATGAATTGGTGAAGAAAATTATCAGCTACAAGTTCGCACAAATCGTCACCATTTGCATCTCCACTATTGTTTATAGGGGTCGTAGACTGATCGTCGGGCCACGAGATGTTTGGGAGGTTGAAATCACCAACTAACACAATGCAACTAGATTCTGGATTCTGGAGCAATGATTCGTTTAAGAGCTTAAGACTGTCCGAGCGACTTTGAGGTGGTCGATAATAAGTATACAGAATTACAGATGAATTGTTCGCCTTATTTAGTTGTACGACCACGAATTCAGCATCATCTCTCTCTAAGTCACAACGTCGAGTAGCTTGTAATCCTTCTTTGACTGCTATAAGAACACCACCTCCAATCTTCCCATTTCTATCTTTCCTGAAGATATTAAAGCCAGGGAGAAGTTCAGAGTCAAGCACTGTTTTGTTTAGCCACGTCTCGCAAATACAGATAACTTCGTAATCATTTTCGTGAACTAAATGTTCAAGTAGAGTAATTTTGCAAACTTTGTTCGAAACATTGTTGTCCACTGTGACAAATGACTTTATGCTTCTAGCGTTTAAATATAAAACTTTCAAGTTGTTAAATGTTCTGGTGATTTCAATAGGACCGGGATTTATTTCCACGTCATTAGCCAAAAGGATAAGCATCAAGGGCAAGGACGATCGTTGCAACAGAATAAATCCATGTATAATTCGATTGACAGAAAGTAGGGTAGCATGTTTCATTACACGGCGAGATTGATAAGAGCACGGTGGACAGAGAACCTTTGTACTCGCGTAAAACAGTTTCAATTGGTTTCCTTCTTTTAACTTTACACCACGTAAAACCAGCCAAAATAACACAAGAACGTACCACATTTTAGGCGAAATCATACTTTAATGTGATAACAAAATGTTCTAAGCCTTCGATCAAGATCTCTCTTTTTCTAATTGAAGCGCGTGCGCTCAATCCATTCAAACGCACGCGAGGCGTGTTCGTATGCAAACGTAAATCAACCGTCCAACAATTGCGCGAGCAGGAACGATAACGGAAAAAATCAAGATCCACACAACAATTATGTTGAAAATTCCAAATTTTCTCGGCGAGAGACAAAATTAAATTTATAACTACCTTACAATTTCGATTTCCAAAACTTTAACCCACTTTCTGTTATACAAATGTATTTAAATTCCAAACGAAATGTGTAAAATCCTGAGTATTTCACGGAGCTCGACGGCACACAGCCGCACGCGCAAATTCGCACGCGCTCGATCTATTTATTATGATTAATATGGTAATTATGATGAAGATCATCATAATGATCATCATAGTTGCCATAGCAACCATCATTTATTATGATTATTTTGCTAATTTTGATTCAAATCACCATAATGATCATCATAGTTGCAACGGCAACCATCATTTATTATGATTAATATGCTAATTATGATCCAAATCATCATAATGAGCATCATGGTTACCATGGCAACCATCATTTATTATGATTAATATAGTAATTATGATCAAGATCATCATAATGATCATCATAATTGCCATAACAAGCATAATAAATTATGATTAATATCCTAATTATGATCAAGATCATCATAATGATCATCATAGTTGCCATAGCAACTATAATTTATTATGATTAATATGCTAATTATGATCAAGATCATCATAATGATCATCATAGTTGCCATGGCAACCATAATTTATTACGATTAATATGCTAATTATGATCAAAATCATCATAATGAGCATCATGGTTGCCATTGCAACCACAATTTATTATAATTAATATGCTAATTATGATCAAGATCATCATAATGATCATCTTAGTTCCCATAACAACCATAATTTTTTATGATTAATGTGCTAATTATGATCAAAATCATCATAATGAGCATCATAGTTGCCATTGCAACCATCATTTAGTATCATTAATATGCTAATTATGATCAAGATCATCATAATGAGCATCTTGGTTGCCATGGCAACCATCATTTATTATGATTAATGTGCTAATTATGATCAAAATCATCATAATGATCATCATGGTTGTTGTCATCATGCTAATTATGATCAAGATCATCATAATGATCATCATGGTTGCTATGGCAACCATAATTTATTACGATTAATATGCTAATTATGATCAAAATCATCATAATGAGCATCATGGTTGCCATTGCAACCACAATTTATTATGACTAATATGCTAATTATGATCAAGATCATCATAATGATCATCATAGTTGCCATTGCAACCATCATTTATTATGATTAATATGCTAATTATGATCAAAATCATGATAATGATCATCATGGTTGTTGTCATCATGCTAATTATGATCAAGATCATCATAATGATCATCATAGTTGCCATTGCAACCAGAATTTAGTTTGATTAATATGCTAATTAAGATCAAGATCATCATAATGATCATCATAGTTGCCATAGCAACTATCATTTATTATGATTAATATGCTAATTATGATCAAGATCATCATAATGATCATCATAGTTGCCATAGCAACCATCATTTATTATGATTAATATGGTAATTATGATCAAAATCATCATAATGATCATCATAGTTGCAATAACAAGCATAATTTATTATGATTAATATCCTTATTATGATCAAAATCATCATAATGATCATCATAGTTGCCATAGCAACTATAATTTATTATGATTAATATGCTTATTATGATCAAGATCATCGTAATGATCATCTTAGTTCCCATGGCAACCATAATTTTTTATGAATAATGTGCTAATTATGATCAAAATCATCATAAGGAGCATTATAGTTGCCATTGCAACCATCATTTAATATGATTAATATGCTAATTATGATCAAGATCATCATAATGAGCATCATGGTTGCCATGGCAACCGTCATTTATTATGATTAATATGCTAATTATGATCAAAATCATCATAATGACCATCATGGTTGTTGTCATCATGCTAATTATGATCAAGATCATCATAATGATCATCATAGTTGCCATAGCAACCATTATTTATTATGATTAATATGCTAAGTATGATCAAGATCATCATAATGATCATCATAGTTGCCATAGCAACTATAATTTATTATGATTAATATGCTAATTATGATCACGCTCATCATAATGATCATCATAGTTTTCATGGCAACCATCATTTATTTTGATTAATATGCTAATTATGATCAAGATCATCGTTATGATCATCTTAGTTCCCATGGCAACCATAATTTTTTATGATTTATGTGCTAATTATGATCAAAATCATCATAATGAGCATCATAGTTGCCATTGCAACCATCATTTAGGATGATTAATATGCTAATTATGATCAAGATCATCATAATGAGCATCATGGTTGCCATGGCAACCGTCATTTATTATGATTAATATGCTAATTATGATCAAAATCATCATAATGACCATCATGGTTGTTGTCATCATGCTAATTATGATCAAGATCATCATAATGATCATCATAGTTGCCATAGCAACTATAATTTATTATGATTAATATGCTAATTATGATCAAGATCATCATAATGATCATCATAGTTGCCATTGCAACCATCATTTATTATGATTAATATTCTAATTAGGATCAAGATCATCATAATGATCATAATAGTTGCCATGCCAACCATCATTCATTATGATTAATATGCTAATTATGATCAAAATCATCATAATGATCATCATGGCTGCCATAGCAACCATCATGTATATGTATGTGTATGTATGTGCGATGGCTTAAATGTTAATGTTAGACATAATCTTACAGCATCTGTTGGACTTGGCACTGATGTACATGCATCACATATTGTTGGGGCATCTTCTAGTAACGAAGAATCAAACTGGCAAGCTTGGTCTTGCATTTTAACTTTAGGTTTAGTCATAGTTTCTTTGTCGTTGCGATTCGACGCCATACTTCGTTTCTTTTTTTGATTAATATGGTATATATGATCAAAATCATCACAATGATCATTATGGTTGTAATAAAAAACCATAATTTATTATGATTAATATGCGATCAAATCATCATAATGAGCATCATAGTTGCCATGGCAACCATCATTTATTATGATTAATATGCTAATTATGATCAAAATCATCATAATGATCATCATCGTTGTGGTCATCATGCTAATTATGATTAAAATCATCATATTGATCATCTTAGTTGCCATAGGAACCATAGTTTTTTATGATTAATGTGCTAATTATGATCAAAATCATCATAATGAGCATCATGGTAAACATTGCAAATATAATTTAGTATCATTAATATGCTAATTATGATCAAGATCATCATACTGATCATCATAGTTGCCATAACAACCATCATTTATTATGATTAATATGGTATATATGATCAAAATCATAACAATGATCATTATGGTTGCAATAAAAAACCATAATTTATTATGATTAATATGCTTATTATTATCAAGATCATCATAATAATCATCATAGTTGCCATGGCAACCATCTTTTATTAGGAATAATATGGTAATTATGATCAAGATCATCATAATGATCATCTTAGTTGCCATGGCAACCATCATTTATTATAATTAATATGCTAATTATGATCAAGATCATCATAATGATCATCATAGTTGCCATAGCAACCATCATTTATAATGATTAATATGGTAATTATGATCCAAATAATCATAATGAGCATCACGCTTGCCATAACAACCATAATTTATTATGATTAATATGCTAATTATGAACAAGATCATCATAATGATCATTATAGTTGCCATAGCAACCATCATTTATTATGATTAATATGGTATATATGATCAAAATCATAACAATGATCATTATGGTTGTAATAAAAAACCATAATTTATTATGATTAATATGCTTATTATGATCAAGATCATCATAATGATCATCATAGTTGCCATGGCAACCATCATTTATTATGATTAATATGGTAATTATGATCAAGATCATCATAATGATCATCCTAGTTGCCATAGCAACCATCAATTATTATGATTAATATGGTAATTATGATCAAAATCATCATAATGATCATCATGGTTGCCATAACAAGCATATTTTATTATGATTAATATGCTAATTATGAACAAGATCATCATAATGATCATTATAGTTGCCATAGCAACCATCATTTATTATGATTAATATGGTATATATGATCAAAATCATAACAATGATTATTATGGTTGTAATAAAAAACCATAATTTATTATGATTAATATGCTTATTATGATCAAGATCATCATAATGATCATCATAGTTGCCATGGCAACCATCATTTATTATGATTAATATGGTAATTATGATCAAGATCATCCTAATGATCATCTTAGTTGCCATAGCAACCATCATTTATTATGATTAATATGCTAATTATGATCACGATCATCATAATGATCATCATAGTTGCCATAGCAACCATCATTTATTATGATTAATATGGTAATTATGATCCAAATAATCATAATGAAAATCATGGTTGCCATAACAACCATAGTTTATTATGATTAATGTGCTAATTATGATCAAGATCATCCTAATGATCATCTTAGTTGCTATAGCAACCATCATTTATTATGATTAATATGCTAATTATGATCACGATCATCATAATGATCATCATAGTTGCCATAGCAACCATCATTTATTATGATTAATATGGTAATTATGATCCAAATAATCATAATGAGCATCATGGTTGCCATAACAACTATAGTTTATTATGATTAATGTGCTAATTATGATCAAGATCATCCTAATGATCATCTTAGTTGCCATAGCAACCATCATTTATTATGATTAATATGCTAATTATGATCACGATCATCATAATGAT